GGTGCGGGAGGATTGGCATGGCAGGGAGGAGGGGCGGGGATAGCGGGGGTACGGGAGGATTGGCGAGGCAGGGAGGAGGGGCGGGGATAGTGGGGGTACAGGAGGATTGGCGAGGCAGGGAGGAGGGGCAGAGATAGCGGGGGGTATGGGAGGAGGGGTGGGGATAGCGGGGGGGTACTGGAGGATTGGCAAGGCAGGGAGGAGGGGCAGGGATAGCGGCGGGTACGGGAGGATTGGAGAGGCAGGGAGGAGGGGCGGGGATAGCGGGGAGTATGGGCGGATTGGCGAGGCAGGGAGGGGGGTGGGGATAGTGGGGGGTACGGGAGGATTGGCGAGGGTAGTGGGGGTACGGGAGGATTTGGGGAGCATGGGGAGGCGGGGCCTAATGAAAGGGGAGTGGCGTACTGGGTGGGAGGGGCTCTATAAGGGCAATTCCCTCCAGCATGTAACCTCGACCCCCACCTCTCCTCCCCAGGAGAGACCATCGCTGCCTTCTGCCTGACGGAGCCAGCCAGCGGCTCGGACGCCGCCTCCATCCGCACCACCGCCCGGCCCAGCCCCTGCGGCTCCTACTACACTCTGGATGGGGGCAAGATCTGGATCAGGTGTGCCCTGGCCCTAGGGGGAGCTGTGGGGCGCATTGCTGGGGACTCAGTTGGGGGGCGTTCTCCCCTGTCCGGCAGGACTGGCTGGCTTCCCTCCCCCAGGCATACCCCACTTTCCTGACCCCCCTCTCCACACATCTCTGCCCCCCACAGTAACGGGGGGCTGGCCGACCTCTTCACTGTCTTTGCCAAGACCCCTGTGAAAAACGAGGCAACGGGAGAGGTGAAGGAGAAGATCACGGCCTTCATCGTGGAGCGAGCGTTCGGGGGGGTCACCCAGTGAGTATCCCCCAAACTCAGCCCGGTGGGAGTGGGCGGATTGGGGGGGGTGGCCACAGTTCAGGGGCGTCTGTGGGCAATAGTGATGTTTGTGGGGGACATATTTTGTGGGGGCAGGCCCCTGGGTTTCGGGGTTTTCTGGGCATAGCATGGCTTTTGTGGTTGGGTCTATTTCAGAGGTGGAGTATATTGGCCGGGGCAGGGGGGTTCTGGGGCATCTGTTTGGGGGTGTTTGCACTGGTGGTTCAGGGGTGGGGTTTTCGGGGGTGTACATTTTGGGGGGTGTTGGTGGGGTGGGCTGTATTTCAGGGCATAGGTTTTGAGGGACATTGGGACATATTTCAGGGCATCTGTTTCGAGGGACATTGGCGGTGTCTACGGGGGGGGAGTTGGCCGGGGTCTTTATTTCGGGGTGTACATTCACGGGGCTGTGTTTTGGGGCGTCGGCGCCCCCCCTCCCCTCACTCACCCCTGCCCTCCCTGTGGCAGCGGCCCCCCCCGAGAAGAAGATGGGGATCAAGGCGTCGAACACGGCTGAGGTGCACTTCGAAGGCGTGCGGGTGCCGGTGGAGAACGTGCTGGGGCCGCCGGGCGCCGGGTTCAAGGTGGCCATGAACATCCTCAACAACGGGCGGTTCGGCATGGTGGCTGCGCTGGCTGGGACCATGCGGGGCGTCATCGGCAAGGCCGTGAGTGTCCCCCCACGGCGACACCCATCTCCCCACAGTGACCCCCCCATGGCGATCCCAGTCCCCCACACGGCGAGCCTCATCTCCCCATAGTGACCCCCCCATGGCGATCCCACCCCCCCCCATGGTGACACCCATCTCCCCATAGTGACCCCCCACATTCCTCCTCACAGCAACCCCCATCTCCCCTGGCGACCCCA